GCTCTGAGTGCTGCCTCTGGGACGCGTGCCATAGGTTCGCCACCACTGGTATAAGGTTTCCTGCCTGAGCAGGGGGCTAGACTAGATGACCTCCAAGGTCCCTTCCAACTTTATTATTATTATTATTATTATTATTATTATTATTATTATTATTATTATTATTATTATTATTATTATTATTACTATCAAATGGCATTTGGTTCCTAACAAAATATGCCTGTAGGAATGGGACCTTCAACATAACCATCCACTCAATCTGGCTAGATGAATGGTTGAAGGACTGCTTACTTTTAGCATTTAGTTGCAAAGGAAATTGTGACATATCCATATGAATTTAAGACTTTCAGTGCTGCACAATATTGTGTGGTCTGTACCTCCCAGTGCTATATCTGATCAAAGCATGCAACTGCCAAATTAGCAAAAGGTCTACATTTGAAAGTGATGGGGATTCTCTTCTTCCAGAACATCAGAAATTGGAGTTGGCAATATTGGCCTCAGATCTACAGCAACATATCTCAATATCGTGCAATATTCATTGGATACAGAACAGTTCATTTTTCAAGCAACAGTCCAACTCTCTTTTGGCTGGTATTTCAGATTTTCAAGCATTTAAGGAAAGAAGAAACATATTGGCAGTTGTATTTTTCTACTTCTGTAGACGAATGACAGCCCATGTTTACTAAATTGTAAGCCATATTTTCAAGGACTGAGAGTTTCATAATATGTAAATTCACTCGTGTTCCCAGACAGGCTGTCACACAAGCATACAAATTCATTTCTTTCCTTCCACTATTTGCTACCTCCATAACTTACAGTAGAATTAAATTCAAGAGTTTCATTGGAGCTTAATGCCCATAGACTTTATGGCAGGGGTCTTCAAACTTGGCCCTTTTATGACTTGTGAACTTCAACTCCCAGAATTACTCAGCCAGCGTGCCTGGCTGAGTAATTCTGGGAGTTGAAGTCCACAAGTCATAAAAGGGCCAAGTTTGAAGCCCCCTGCCATAGACAAGCATGCCTAACCCCTTGTTTTCCAAATTCTGGGATTCAACTCTCACTATAATTCTAAATATGGGAATTGAGATTTTAATGTATCTGGAAGGGTAGGAAGGAATGATATGGAAAGATTATTACAAACGCCATCCTTTCCCCAGTTCATTTTTGTTTAAAGACTCTGATTTGAGGAAAGCTGGCTAAAGTCCCCATTTTGGGTGGAAAAAATGATCCAAGTAGTCATCTACCTGTCTAGTCATCCTGAAGATACAAATGGCACTGAAAAAAGTGACTTATGATGGTCCTTGCGCTTACGACCATTGCAATGGCCTTGAGGCCACTTGATCACAATTTGGATACTTGGCAATCATCACATATATACAACATTCAGTGGTCACATGATTGCCACTTGCAAACTTCTCAACTGGCTTCTGACAAGCAAAGTCAACGGGGAAGCTGGTAGGAGATTGGAAGTTACTGTGATGCCTCAATTAATGCCTGCAGCAAAAAGGGCTTAAATTGGTACAATCATGTGATGCCTCACTCAAGGACTGCACTGCTTAGCAATTAATTTTCCAGTCCTAATTAGGTATGAAAGCCAGTTGGGTTAATTTCGGCCAGTCACTCTCTCTCAGCCCAATCCATTTCAGAATAGTAGAATAACTGAGTTGGAAGGGACCTTGGAGAACTTCTAGTTCAACTTCCTGTTCAGGTAGGAGACCCTATACCAGGGGTCTTCAAACCTGGCCCTTGTATGATTTGTGGACTTCAACTCCCAGAATTCCTCAGCCAGCGTGCCTAGCTGAGGATTTCTGGGAGTTGACATCCACAAGTCATAAAAGGGCTGAGTTTGGAGACCCCTGCCCTATACCATGTCAGACAAATGGTTACTTCCATTGTTGGAGCATTCACAACTTATGGAGGCAAGCTGTTCCACTGGTTGATTATCAACACTGTTAGGAAGTTTGTCTGTAATTCCAGGTTGCTTCTCTCCTCAATTAGTTTCTATTCCTTGTTTTTTTTTTTTTTTTTTTTGTCTTACCTCCTGGTGCTTTGGAAAATAAGTTGACCTCTCTTCTTTGTGGCAGCCTCTCAAATACTGGAATGCTGCTATCATGTCTCCCCTAGTCCTTCTTTTTACAATCTCATGGGGTTGTCATTGTGGGGAAAATAGGAAGGTGTATTCTGTACATTCATAATCTTGAGTTACTTATAAAATAATAAGGCAAGACAAAACAAAACATTGTGATTATATGTTGAAGACTACCTGTACTGCTAAAGCAGCTTAGATGCCCTATGGAAGATCTCCTTTGTAGGTCTGCAGAGAGCTGTCCATGGTCCTGATAAACTAGTCTATGCAGTATTTTGATTGAGAGCCTCCATAAATGTCTTTTACCTTGAACTGGACTTTTATTCCTTAAACCAGGGATTCCCAACCCCTGTCCGTGGACCGGTACCGGGCCGCAGCTTGCCAGCAACTGGTCTGCACAAACAAGCAAAGCCCCATCCATGGGATGCAGGCAGCACACAAAACCACGCCCCCTCTGTTCCGCGGAAAATCCTCTCTCCATGGAACCGGTCCCTGGTGTCCAAAAGGTTGGGGACCTCTGCGTTAAACCCAGTAAGACTGAAGAATGGTGTATATGTATCACTCCTAGTTCTATTTGCACAAACACTCAGAAGGGCTGTCTATGGGATATATGAAATGTCTGAATATGTGTAATATTTGCCCTTTGCTACTGAGCAGATGTGTTGCCGAATTCCTAATATACATTCTTTGAAATTTTCACAGATGTCTGTGTTAAAGCTTTCACACTTTATTCAATATTGTGGTGCTTTTAAAAAAAAAATGAAAGACAAAAAGTAAAGCAGCAAGAAATAGAAACAGATTTTAGTGCCTATGAAGCATTCGATTTTTCACAAATGTCACAAAACAATGTAGCTGGAATTAATTGATATTTCCTACTGTTGCTCAGTTTCTGCAGACATTCAAGCAGAAGAAATGATCTATCCCTCTTCTCCTATTACTTCCTCTCACCTTAATTCGTATTACAGATTAAGAGGCCTTCATGCATTACATAAAACCATTTCACCATAACTATTTTTTTCAGATCTACTTCTTCTGGTGCTATATTGAAAATTGTAATAATTGTCCCAATACAACTGAAGGGCACCAGGTTGGGGAAGCTCATTTACTGAGAAAAAGTAGAAACTGGAAAGTTTCACCAGCCAAAGAGATAATAGCTGTAAAGGAGAATCTGGGGAGATATAGGGCTGCCCTGCATTTGGATTTTTGTTAGAATAACATTGCTCAGGTTTGGTATAACCTCCTTTTCCAGCATCCAGACCCATGTATTTTTTATATTAATAGATAAGATTTTTCCCAAACACAAAAATTATTTGATGCACTATGCTTGTAGAAATTCAACCCTAATGACACATTTGATTAAATGTTTTAATTCTTCATGGGCCTACCTTTGAAGAGGATTTGGAACAGTGGTGGGATTTAGCTGGTTCACACCACTTCGGCAGAACCGGTAGCTAATTTTTTGTTGCCCAGACCCAGAATGGACTTCCGGAAGTGCCATCCACACACAGAACTGGTTGTTCACATATTTGAACCCCACCACTGATTTGGAAGCTGCAGCTCGTACAGAAGGTGATGGGGTGAACAGTTTGGGGTGCATGTAAGACCTTTGCTATGTGAGCTTCTGGGTCTGACTCAAGGTGTGAGTTACCACCTGGCTATACAAAACCAGGTGATTGGTGTCTTAAGTATCTGAAACAATAACACAGGAATAGAGAATCCATGGCTCTTCAGATATGGCTGAACTGTAACTTCCAATTCTTTTCCCAATACCTGTCTGCCAGGATTTTAGTTCAGCAATACCTGAAGGATTATATGCGCCCCGCTAATGTAATGAAATAAAGAAGTATTAAATTGCTTAAAACCATGTGCAAAGTGGGTCCTTCATTCCCTTTCCTATCCCTCTGTGATTACCCTACTTATATATTGAGCAGTACATTTATTAGATATGAATTCTCCAAAGAGCTACAAAGAAGAGCAGATTTTTCTCACTACGGGACTCATGTCACATTATGGATGATGTCACAGGTTCTGTGATTCTCTTGGTGGCCATGAACATCACAGAGTGACATTGATATGAACATCACAGAGTGACACATTAGCAAGCGCAACTGAGCTGAGAAGGTAAACCAGACTATCTCAATGACAAAATACCATTATATGAGTGCTGGGAAAATACTGTGTATGAACGAGCAGCTACTGACTTCAATACTCTCCTATAGCAATGGAGAACTAACAGAGATATTAAGAGCAACTGGAATAAATGGATCGACTGGAAATGAACAGTGTTTATTTCAAGAGCTTTTCCTCCTTCTCTGGAGGATGCCTGGGAGCATGAATTCTTTAGAAAGAATATTCTCTCCCCAGAAGCATCCAGGCCATGGTTGTCTCAAAGTGCTTTTTCCAAAAGGCAAACTGGACTTTCTTGTTTTTTTTGTTTGAAAACATTTCACTTCTTACCCAAGAAGCTTCTTTGGTTCTAACTTACTGCTGAGGAATGGAAGGATTTAGATTCTTTGCAGTCATCTCCTCATTAGCACTCTTTCTGAGAGTTGTTGAGGCCACTTGGGCATTCATCTGTATCCTCTGAGTCATCTGAATCAGAATGTAGATGGGCATGGAACTTCCTTGGGACTGCTGAAAATTCCATACTTGTTTACATTCTGATTCAGGTGACCCCGAGAATACAGATGAACCCCCCAAGTGGCCTCAATGACCCCTAGAGAGCTAGCAACCAACCCTCGGAGTGCTAACGATCAGACGACTGCAAAGAATATAAATTCTTTCATTCCCCACCAATCAGTTAGAAGTGAAGAAGCTTCTTGGATGAGAAGGGAAATGTTTTCAAAAGAAAAAAAAAACAAGAAAGTCCAGTTGCCTTTTGGAAAAATCACCTCTGGGCCCTCTTCCCAGACATCGTTTATTGTTGTCTGGAGAACAGGTTCTTAAAGGCATTGTTATAATTCTTGTTGAAGGCTGTATAGATCAAAGGGTTGAAAAAAGAATTGGAATATCCGAGCCAAAGGAAAACACTTTTGCAGGTTGGGGGGATGTCACAGGAACAGAGGGAGCTGATGAGTTCAGTGATGAAGAAGGGGATCCAGCAGAGGACAAAGACCCCAATGAGGATGCCCACCATGAGGGCAGATTTTCTCTCTTTCTGCTCCCTCCAAGTGTCTCCATCCGTTTGAAATGTCACCGTGGCATGGCGGGCAGTGAACACCATCTGTGGGTGCTGAGTATCCTCCTTGACCTGTGAAATAATAATAATAATAATAATAATAATAATAATAATAATAATAATAATAATAATAATGATGATGATGATGATGATGATGATGTTGTTGGAAGGGACCTTGGAGGTCATCTAGTCCAACCCCTGCTCAGGCAGGAAACCCTATACCAGTGATGGCAAACCTTTTAGAGACCGAGTGCCCAAACTGCAACCCAAAACCCACTTATGTATCATCGGGTGCCGGGTGGGTGTGGCCCATTGGCTGGGTGAGGCCCGTTGGCTGGGTATGGCCAATCGGGTGGGTGTGTCCCATTGGGTGGGCGTGGCTGCGGTGATAACGGCAGACTGGGTGGGATTAAAAAGTTCAATCAATCAATCAATTCCAATTTTGCAAGATCTTTTTTTTCCCCCGCGAGAAGTTGAAATTGACTGATTGATTGAACCTTTTTTTTTTTTGCACACAGCGGTGGAGGCCTAAAGCGAAAAGGTTTTATAAAACCCAGCTGAAGGCCTAGGACTGGGGCGATGGCGCGAGTGCCCACAGAGAGGGCTCTGAGTGCCACCTCTGGCACCCGTGCCATAGGTTCGCCACCACTGCCCTATACCATTTCGGACAAATGGCTGTCCAGTCTCTTCTTAAAAACTTCCAGTGTTGGAGCATTCACCGCTTCTGGAGGCAGGTTGTTCCACTGGTTAATTGTTCTAACTGTCAGGAAGTTTCTCCTTAGTTCTAGGTTGCTTCTCTCCTTGATTAGTTTCCACCCATTGCTTCTTGTCCTGACTTCAGGTGCTTTGGAAAATAGCTTGACTGCCTCTTCTTTGGGGCAGCCCCTGAGATATTGGAACACTGCTATCATGTCCCCCCTCGTCCTTCTCTTCGTTAAACTAAATGCTAAGGAAATGGCATTTTTAGATTATTGCTTCGCTGTCCAACGTTGTTCTGATGCTGAGCATGAAAGCATTCCCTGAAAGGAGCGTAATAAGATGGGGAAGCCACATTCACTGAACAACCGTGTTACTATGTTAATAACGGCAGTGATTCGTTTAACAACTGCGGCAAGAAAAATCTTAAAATGGAACAAAGTTCACTTATCTGTCTTGCTTAGTAACAGAAATTTTGGGCTCAACTGTGGAACATAAGTCAAGGACTACCTGTACAGTACTGGAAGTTCGGTGTGGCACACTGTCTTCAAATTTACATGTATGATTGCATGTTATATCTTTATTCCTTAAGACAGGGATAGGCCACCTTGACTCTTTTATGACTTGTGGACTTCAACTCCCAGAATTCCTGAGCCAGCATGGCTCAGCCTGGAAACCTCTCCCTTTCCCCTCAGCATGGCTGGCTCAGGAATTCTGGGAATTGAAGTCCACGAGTCATAAAAGAGCCAAGGTTGCCTACCCCTGCTTTAAGACATGTTCTTAGACAATTAATCCAGCTGGATGACTTTGGACTAATCATTCTCTCTCAGCCCAACCCAGCTCACAGGATTATTTTTATGGGGAAATTAGGAAGAGGAAGGAGCATTAGGTATGTCCGCTGCCTTATTTATAACAATAATAATAAAGATGGAATAAAAATCAACTAGCTAATTAAATAAATAAAATTATGTCCGTGCGATATTTACTATAATATTTATTGGCTTAAACCAGGAATCACAGCTCACTGCAAGGAACCAGCAAAATAAAATATTGGGAGTATTCAAAGAAAAATTTTTGGCTCCTGATTTTCTGGTCCAGCATGCTTCCTCTTAATTATATGGCCAGTATTATCAATTCTGATAATACTAAAAGAAAGATTTATTTAATATACACTGAAGCAAGCTCTCTTGCAAAGTTTTAGTTGATGCATTAACAGCAAATACATCAGAACTGCCTGCCGTGTTTGCCTGTGAATTTTCCCAACTGATGTTTTCGTTTGCGCAAAAACATCTCTGGAAGAAGACTGAAACTGTCTGAAGGATGTGCTGACTCACTCCCAGGGGATTTCTGGGGTCTCTTTGCTTCCATAGCAAGATTATCTCTCCAGAATTGAAGAGGTGGGGACGAAGTATTCACCCCTCCCCCCAGAGATGAGATGACAGCAACTTCCTATAAAAAAAACAAATGGAGATGTATTTGCCTGGATCAAATGACTGCAACATCAAGCAACAGAAAGCTGCAGCATGAGTAACATTACCACAGTTCCTACAATCTGGAAAAATCCTAGAACATCTCTGCTATTATTTACACCTGTTTCCCTTTTCACCATCTGAAGGAACGTTGTATTCCAGTGTTTCTCAACTTTGGCACCTTGGGGAGATGTGGACTTCCACTCCCAGAATTCCCCAGCCAGCAAGTCACTTGCAGTCCACACCTTTTCAAGTTGCAAAGATTCAAGCAAAAGGACATTTCTACTGGGATTTCTGTATGCAAACACAGCACTCACCAAAGATTGATGGGTTCATACACAGAGATACTGAAAAGAGTTAGCTTTTTAAATGGCTTAGATCAGGGGTAGGCCACCTTGTCTCTTTTACGGCTCGTGGACTTCAACTCCCAGAATTCCTGAGCCAGCACGGCTCAGCTTGGAAACTTCTTCCTTTCCCCTCAGCATGGCTGGCTCAGGAATTCTGGGAGTTGAAGTCCATGAGTCATAAAAGAGCCAAGGTTGCCTACCCCTGGCCTAGATGCTAATTAGGTACCAAAATAAGGAGAATTTTTCACAACAGAGGTAGTGCATTTGTTTAGTGACCATTCAAAGTTACAATGACATTGAAAAATGAAATAAACTCACAACCATGGCACCATCTCCATGGTCATATAATCAAAATTGAGATGTTTGGCAACTGGCATGTACTTATGAAAGTTGCAGTGTCTCAAGGGGTCATGTGATCATCTTTTGTGACCTTCTGACAAGCGAAGTCAATGGAGAAGCCATTTTCACTTAACAACTAACTTAACTGCAGTGATTCACTTAACAACCGTGGCAAGAAAGGTCATAAAATGGGGCAAAGCTCACTTAAGAACTATCTTGTTTAGCAATGGAAATTTGGGGCTCAGTTGCAGTCATAAGTCAAGAACTTGTTATAAATCAAGAACCTAGACAACACCAAGAGGCTCAGTCTGGCAAGAAGAAGAAGAAGAAGGAGGAGGAGGAGGAGGAGGGGGAGGAGGAGGAGGAGGAGGAGGAGAAGAAGAAGGAGAAGGAGAAGGAGAAGGAGAAGGAGAAGAAGAAGAAGAAGAAGAAGAAGAAGAAGAAGAAGAAGAAGAAGAAGAAGAAGAAGAAGAAGAAGAAGAAGAAGAAGAAGAAGAAGAAGAAGAAGAAGAAGAAGAAGAAGAAGAAGAAGAAGAAGAAGAAGAAGAAGAAGAAGAAGAAAGGTGCAGTTAAAGTCAAATAAAACCAAATTAAGATATGGGAGGATTTTTTTATTACACTGAAAAATGTATCAAACCCTACTATCTTTCTTCCTGCAAGCAAAAGAAAGGGTGATTTGGAAGGGATAAACGATTATATACAAAAAGATTAGGCAGCGCCAGTCCTGTCAATCTCAGCAACTGTCTCCAAAGTAGCTTTTCAATTACGGAAAAGTAATGAAGGGAAACGGATTAGTTTGCAACGCTTGAGTTTGTTCCAAGAAGCTTATGTTATCCTGGCCATGGCTGAGCATGAATATGAAGCCAGAAACCACAACCTAATCACACCCACAGCCACAAATGGTATAAATAGTCCTTGTTCTGGGCACAAATCATTTATGGGTTTAAAACACAGGATCTATTTTCAGGCAGAATTTCAAAGCCCCTTTAAGATGTGGGGACTTCAATTCCCAGAATTCCCCAGCCAGCCAGGGAACATATGCTCACCCTGCCACAGGGTGTAAACAGTGAGCATGTGCTTTTCACAATTCCAGGCAGCTTGGGGCAGGCAGAGCAGCTGTTTACACATTCACACCAGATAAAAAGAATCTACTGAAAGGCCCAAAGCAAACAAATGAATGGAAAAAAGGCAAAGTGGAGCGAAGTTTGTGTAGACTGGGTCCCCTCCTTGCCATGCCTAGAACTTTGTTCCTCGTCACGTTGTGTGTAGGAAATACATGGCAGAAAGGGTCTCATGAAGGGGCAATGAATGCCAGCTCTGTGGGGTGCGGGTTGATAATGTCCTACCTTAGAGCAGAGGTCACCAACCTTTTGGGCACCAGGGACTGGTTATGTGGAGAGAGGTTTTTCCGTAGATCGGAGGGGGTGTGGTTTTGTGTGCTGCCTGCATCCCGTGGATAGGGCTTTGCTTGTTTGTGTGGACCGGTTGCTGGCATGCCACGGCCCGGTACTAGTCCATGGACCAGGGGTTGGGGACCCCTGCCTTAGAGGATGAAACATCTAACTTTTCAATTAATGAGCACAAGAAAGTTGAAGTTCAGGGGCATCACAAACAGGCAGTCTTTGACTTACAAACAATCATTTAGCAACCATTGGAAGTTACAATGGATCTCCTTGGTTGAATCCTTATGATCAGGATTTGAGGTTCTAACGGTGCCACCCCCACAGTCAAATGACTGCACTGTAAGTGCTCAGCAACCAGTTTTTTAAGGGGCTGCCACAAAGAAGAGGGGTCAACCTATTTACCAAAGCACCGGAGGGCAGGACAAGAAACGATGGATGGAAACTAATCAAAGAGAGAAGCAACCTTGATTTAAGGACAAACTTCCTAGCAGGAAGGACAATTAACCAATGGAACAGCCTGCCTTCAGAAGTTGTGGGTGCTCCAACGTTGCAGGTTTTTAAGAAGAGACTGGACAACCATTTATCTGAAATGGTATAGGGTCTCCTGCTTGAGGAGGGGGCTGGACTAGAAGACCTCCAAGGTCCCTTCCATCTCTACTCTTTAAATAAGCATTATGGATGTTTGCAGCATCCTGTAGCCATGTGACCAGATTATTTTGATCCACAGTTTTGTAACACTTTTACTTCCATTTTTCAGAAAAAAACATAGTAATTTGCAAAATGACTATGACATTTGCCTGCAAAAAAGGCTGTAAAATCGGTTCCATCACTTGGGTGATCCAATTTATGACTGTCACAAGTTATGACCGTGATGGGCAGAATCCATTATGTTCTTAACTCAAGGACTATCTGTATATGCTGTACATAACAGTGCTAAAATATACCTGGGAAAGATGTAATCTCCCCAAATATCCAGGGAGAGCAGAAAAACAGGAAAATAGCTACTAGACGAAGCTCACAATATTGATCTGATTGAATTAACCTTCCTAGTTTGAGTGATCAGGAAAAAATTAATGTGTTGATTCCTGCTTACTAATCTGTCTTTCTCTTAAAAAGCTGGCACAGCAATGAGATAAATCTGGAGAATTTCTCTTTTAGTGGAAGCTGCTTTTTTTTTTTCCAAATTGGTAGTTAAGTTTCTAATTCAGCTGAAGGGCAAACATCAACCAACTTATAGTTGATCCCCAAAATTCAGGAAATGGGATTAAGGACCACATTGGTTCAAAGCCTACAAAATACAAATTATTTTGCAGTTTTTGATCTAAATCTTCAGAACAAAAGAGAATTGAGAGAGTATTAGGTATTGAGATCATCCCTTTGAGTTATATAACATATATGAAAAGTCCAATAAAAAAAATCTAGCTAATAATAATAATAATAATAATAATAATAATAATAATAATAATAATAATAATAATAATAATAATAATAATAATAATAATAATAATCTGCTTTTGTAGTGGTTAGGAATACGGTTAGAAACTGGGAGACCCTGAGTTCTAATCCTGTTTTAGGCATGAAAACTGGCTGGGTGATTTTGAGCCAGTCACCAATCACCAATTGTTGTGTGAGTTCTGGTCCTACCTTAAGCACAAACCCAGCAGGATGATGTTGGGCCAGTCACTCTCTCTCAGCCCTAGGAAGAAGGCAAGGGCAAATCACTTCTAAAAAACATTACCAAGAAAACTGACCACTCTATCTAAAAAGAAGCTAGGAGTCAACACTGACTCTAGCTGGTTGTGCGACTGGCCCTAATAATAATAATAATAATAATAATAATGAACCATGGTTCATGAGCACTGCTGAGCTGAGATCTGAACGGAGGAGCACAAGTCCACAATTGCTAGCAACGTGGTAAACCATTGCTTAAATAAAATAAAATAAGGGTCAGTCAAAGACTGAATGAAGGCTGCACTCTAAATCTTTGTGCTATGCTTAGATCTTGGGTGCTGAAAAGATGGGCAGAGCACTAACCTCTAGAGCTCCAGGTGTAATGGGACTGATGGAATTGCTCTTGCGGGATCCAATGCGAAACCTGGCTGCTTTGTAGATCTTCCAGTAGACAAACAGCACGACGCAGAGAGGCACATAAAAAGCTCCACAGGTTGAAAAGACGGTGTACGAAGGCTCTCGGCTGACTTGGCACTCAGCATTGCCCTCGGAATAAGTCTCTCCCCAGCCAAAGAGCAGCGGAGCCAAGGAGATGATAGCAGACAGCAGCCAAGTCAGAGCAATCATAACATTGGAAATACGCCGGCGGGTCTTCAGCGTGTACTCCAGATGCCGCGTTATGGACCAGTAACGATCCAGTGCAATGGCTGTAACGTTCCAGATGCTGGCCGTGCAGCACAGCACGTCACAAGAAACCCAGATCTGGCACAATAGCCTCCCCAGCCGCCAGCGATGGCCGGACAATTCATACATCAGGCTGAGGGGCATCACCAAAGCGGCCACCATCACATCAGAGATGGCCATGGAGGCTACCAGGTTATGGGGCACCCTGTGAAAAGTACGCACCCGCAAGATGGTGGCCAGCACCAGCAGGTTCCAAAGGAAGGTGGCAACTCCCAGCATTGCCAGCAAAGTCAAGATGAGGACTTTGAAGATTGACAAAGGTTTACCCATGCCAGAAGGGCTGGGCAGGAGGCCAGGATCGGTCCAGTTGGGCTCTGCCAAGGTGGTGGCAGAGAAACAGGTGAAGTTGGCAGAGTGGTCCATCCTGCAGGGATGACTGGAGAAGATCTGCAGATGAGGACAAGAGACTGAGAGGCTTCTTCTGGGTTTAATGTCCTACAATAATTTCTCCAGTAGCGTTCTTATGAAGGAGGTTATTGTGGGAGGTGCCTCTTATTTGAGAAGCCGGTGCTCTGCCACGTGGCTGGTTCCAGCAGCATCAACCTATCAGTTGTAAACATGAATTGTCTCAAGAATTTGGCCACAAATCATCCTAAAGTCATGTTAGAATATCTGCCCCTGTAAACCACAGGAAGGGGGGGGGGAGAAAAAAAGAGCAGCCAGATTATTAAGGAAAGAAGTCTGTCTGAAGTTGCCCTGCCTGCTTATCTACAGCTACTTTTGCAACAACAGATAGTCAGGTTAAACAAGGCTGATGTTTTATAAACAAAGCAGAAAAGCGGAACTGAGATATCTCCAATTGTATTGCTATGTAGAAGAGTGTCCATCCCCCGCAAGCAGGAATCTGTAGCTCCCTAATCACCTTGTCTTGCTGGAATCAACCCTATTTAGCCTGATTTAATACTGGGAGCTATTTGGCAATCCTGGCTGATCCCCAAAGCTAAGGACATTTGGATCGGGTTAGTACTTGAATGGTTGACCACTAGGAAACCCAAAAGTATCAGGCAGATTGGGAAGTTAAAAAAAAGTCTCAGAAGAATAGGGTAAGTCACTTCCCTAACTGCTGCCAAAAAAAGGTGAATGAAGAAGATAAATGCAATGTCACCAACAATCAATCTCAATACGAGGAAGAATTAAGCCACAGTAAATGGAGGCATCTAGCTGACCCCTGCAGAAGTTGGGGAGCCTGACTTGGATGTATTGGGACGAGTCAGACATCCTGAGGTATGTGTTAGTTCTTCACTTGTAATGAACACTGGGAAGAGAAAAGGTTTCTCCTTCCAATAAAACAACAGAGTAACAGATCTCCTTGCATAAAGCTAAGTCTAAGAAGATGCTATCAAAGCATAGATGCTTTTCCCCTGCGCCTTTCTAGACTGTGTTTCAAGAACACATTTAAAATAAAACCTTTCAGATCTGTGAAAATTTGTCTGCAACCTCAGAGGCAGCAAGGCTTTTAATATCCTTATGCTAAACCAATTAACACAAGGAAAGCCTAAATGTGAACCATGATAGTAATTCAGCAACATTAGCTTCAAGTTTATGATAAAAGAGAGAGAAAGAAAAAAGAAGCAGCACAAAGACATCAGTTTAAGGACAGCCGGGAGTGTGATGGGATGGAAAGGGGGAGGGACAGGATCATTCAAGGGAAAACTGTGTCCCTGAAAATCATGATCATCAAATTGAGTTTCCATTCTTGGATATAGCGAATTTCCTGGAAAGCAATAAATGGAAGAGGTATGGTCTTGCATTCGCTTTCCTCTTTGGACTTCCCATCTACACCTCAGATCTGGGATTTCTACGTGGTCTCTTGTCCAGATCAGTTTCGGGTATCTTAGGCTACCTCCTCGAGTCAGATGGGTCAAGGGGTGCCTCGTGAAAAGCAGACCCTTTGCTAAGCAAAGGAGTGGGGTTGACCTCCGCACACAACTAGCCACGCTTTTCCCCACCGCGACGCAACGAAGGCTGGAAGAGCCTCCAGCAGCAACCCACGCGCACGCAGACCCACTTCTGGTACTTTGAAGACTCAGGAGTGGCTGGGCCTTTCCGATTTTCGGAATCGACGGAGGAAGGAGAGTCCGGACAAAAGCTGGGTATGGACCTTCTGGGAGGGTAGATTAGATGGACTAGGTTCTCTTGTCTCCCGTCGACAAAGCGGAGCTACCAACCTCAGGTCGGCGTCTAGCAGAAAGCCCCCGGGGTTTAAATCGAAGCGCCAGGCTTCGGCTGGTGGTCTCGGGCGCGGCTACGGCCAAAAACACGTCCGGGGTGTCCAGAGAGTCTGCCGGCTCCTTTGGTCCAGCGCGGACGCTGAAGGTTCAGCGCTCTCAGCCCAGCTGGCAAAGCAGGGGAGGCGTATTTGTTCCAAGCGATCCCCAGCAGATCCCAGCCCCATCCTGTACACTTCATCTGACGCGATCGTGAAAGTCGCCGCAATCCCGGGCGCGCCTCGCCGGGACCTGGAGCCCAGGAGGAATCGTGCGGTGGCTCCGCCTCCGCTCCACAGCCCCGCCCCCACCTCGCCCCACCACCCTAGGCGCGGGAACTAAATACCTGAGCGGGTTCTTCCCATCTCCTCCTCTCCGGCTGCTCCCCAGCCGCTAAGCCGAGGGTGGCTTGTCCAGCTGACGGTCGGCGCTTGGTCCTAGTACAGGCCAGCCAGCTAGGAGAGCCCATCGCGTTGCGCCCCCCACCCGGATTGCATCGTCTCCCTCCGGAGAGCGGCAACAGCTCCGGCGTCTGCCTTCCCCCCCTCAGGGGGATTAGGGCTGGAGAAGACTCCCGCCGTTCTTCTTCCTCTCTCGCCTTTGATGGAGGAGGGAAGAGGGGGGGAGAAGTTTGCACGTCCCCCCCCCCATAGGCTTCCCCTCCGTCGCCCACACGCCGCGAGGAGACGCTCGGTACTCATCACATGGGAACGCGTGCATATATGTAGACACGCGCACAGACACGCGCAGGCACACGAAGAAAGGGTGGAAATTCCGGCCCCTTTGGCGGAGAAAGGCGCTGGGGAGGAAAAATCTTGAATTCGGTGGCAAAGTCAGTCAAAACTGAAAACTGCCCTTCTTTTGAAATGTTAACAGCAAGCGTGAAAAGGCCCTTAGTTTGTGATAGTTTTGTTTTTTGTGTATTACAATACTGGAAAAGAAAAAAGAAAAAGAGATTTTGCGAAGCAGGGGAAACCGGAGGAAATGTGATTTCAGGGAATGAATTCCCATGATTCGAACCTGACTTAAGGAAACAAACAAATGACACAGACCATGTTTTGGCCGAATAAAAAAATCAAATTATGGCAGAAAGGCTGGGCAGATTCACACAGTGCCTGCTGAGAAAAATAGTTCCTAACTAAACCACCACCAACCCTCACCAATCACCACCAATCATTTAAGTGAAGTTTGGGGTTGTATGAATTCAGCCAGTGAATATCAGGACTACTAGATTTTAGATGGGCCTCCTCATTCCTCTAATTCTCTATCCCAATTTTTTGGATACATTTAACTTTCCTCATTTCCAACTAGGGCAACTGATGACCAGGTTAGTCTTGATGAAGTAAGTTGCCGGTCTCCAGCTGGGGAAAAGTCCTTTAACCATGATTACATACCATTCTGTGCAGTGCATTTTAATGTTGGTGGAAAAGGCTCCAAGATCACCGCAGATGGGGATTGCAGCCAAGAAATTAAAAGATGCTTGCTCCTGGGGAGGAAAGCTATGGCAAGTCAAGGCCATGGTTTTTCCCAGTTGCAATGTATGGATGTGAAAGTTGGACTGAAAGACTGAGCGACAAAGAATTGAGGCCTTTGAACTCTGGTGCTGGAGAAGACTCCTGCGAGTCCCTTGAACTGCAAGGCGATCCAACCGGTCAGTCCTGGAGGAGATCAACCCCGATTGCTCTTTAGAAGGCCAGATCCTGAAGTTGAAACTCAAGTACTTTGGCTGCCTAATGAGAAGGAAGGACTCCCTGGAGAAGGGCCTAATGCTGGGAAAGATGGAGGGCAAGAGAAGAAGGGGACGACAGAGAATGAGGTGGCTGGATGGAGTCACTGAAGCAATAGGCGTGAGTTTAAATGGACTCCAGAAGATGATAGAGGACAGGAAGGCCTGGAGGAACGTTGTCCATGGGGTCGCGATGGGTCGGACACAACTTCGCAATTAACAACAACAATCAGTCTTCTCTTCAACTCTTCCATGTCAAATGAGCTGCCTGCTTTTGCGTTTTTTAAAAGCAGCAATTCAATCATAGTGCGGTAAACAATGTTATGAACAACAGAGTAAGCAGGGCAAAAATGGATTTGGATGACAAATGTCTCTGGAAGATAAAATCTCTGAAAAAAAAGAGGTATTTGCTTAAAAGCAGAAAGAGCATTGGCAGGAAACAGGTCTCCATAGAGAGAGAAGTCCATAAAAGGGATACCCAAATGCCCCCCCATCTTTAAAGCCCACTCCCCATCTTTAAAGCCCACTCCCCTGTTACATATCCTTGAAGCTCACTGGCAAGTAGCTATAAAAACTGGCACTTCTTCAGATGCCCAAGTGCCACATCAGGGTTCATCTTCTGAAAGTAAGCCCAAAATGTAGGTGAGGGGTGAAGGTAGGAGACAAAATGGAAAGGGGCAGAGGGGGCAGATTCCACCTCTTTTAACCCCCCCCCTTTTTTTTTTTTTTTACCTTTGGGAGTAAGGCAGCTCCTTCCTTGCCTGAATTTCTACTTCTCCAACTCAGGTTTCTTTCACAGTGTGCCAAATCATGGCTTAGTTACACATTGGTTTATTTATCTTTATTTATTAAATTTCTACAGTGCCCATCTCACCATTTTACCGGGCAGTTTACATGTGGTTTCTTCAAAAGACCACACTGGCTGGACTTACACATCATGCTAAATGATCAAGATGCTTAACAAGCACACTGGATGGATTCATAGGTTATTGGAGCCAAAACACAATAAATCAGAATATGCTGCTGGGTGATGCGTGAATTCAGTAAGTTCTGCGTGACTTTGGTAAACTCTCCAAAATGAACTATCCAGTGGGAAACCTCTGGGTAAAGGAAGAAGGTTTTCTGGAGAAATATATAATTCTGGGAAACATGAGAATGAGAGAAAAGGATGATTAGCAGCAAGAGAAATATATAATCAATGTTATCAGAGATGAGTGCATTATTATAAGATCTGAAGAATCAGGTTGGGAATAGACAATCTTGGAGAAAGTCTATCTGTGTGGTGAAAGGCACTGGGTAAAAAGTCAGGAGACTGTGAGTTCTAATCCTGCCTTCAGCATGAAAGCTGGCTGGGTGACTTTGGGCCAATCACCAGGAGACAGTGAGTTCTAGTCCCGCTTTCGGCATGAAAGCTGGCTGGGTGACTTTGC